TTTGGACATCCCTGACAAGGCCAAGTAAAAGTGAATAATGGTAATCTTGACAAGCTAACAACAGGCTTTTGTTGATCCTGCAGATAAGCTCTAGTGAGTTAGAGCTCTGTAGAGGAGAGAACATGTTGTTGAGGCAGATCGCACTTAGGTGCTTTTGGTAACCGAGTGAATCTTTATTGTGTAAAAGGTGGTAATAACTAGAAGTAATTTTAGTATACATGTACATTTATAAATATAGTGTCTCTCAAATAATAAAGGCAAGATTGCTAAAAAAAAAAAAAAAAAAAGAATAGTTTTTTGATAATCACAATTTTTGTACAAATATATGCTTAAAATAGATTTTTCTCTATTTCTTTAAAAAAAAAAATTTTTTTTTAAGAAAATTATATTTTAGAATATAATTTACTAAATTGGATTAAAATCAATATATCTTTATATCAAATTTATAAAGACTTACTATTTGCTAAATTAACTGCATCAAATTAGGCATGTCTACTTTATGTTTTATTATATTTTTAGATTTTTCTAAAGTTTGAATATAAAAATTTTTAATACAAAATTTTTATAGCATTTAGAATATAGAGCATTTTTACTTAGAACTTCTTGCACCAATCAATTAGCCAGTTTTTAAGATAATATATATATATATATATATAAAATACCATAGATGTGTTTTATAAATTTTAATGTCTTTGCAGTTTTCTGTATTCTGATTGGTTAAAATTTTTAATTTTTTTGCAATTTAATTGACTAAAATTTTATTAATTAAAAATTTTTAAAAACTAACAATAGCACAGTATTGTTACTAAAAACCACTAAATCAATAGTGTTACTAGAACTTTAAGTTCTAGTGACACTATTGATTTACTTTCATGTCCTTTTAGTAACCTTCCAGTGGTCTTCCAGTGACAACACTACAATAGCATGAGGCCAAAACATGTGACTTGCTAATTTTTTGAAGTATTATCGTTGATATTTAAAATAGTATAAAACAGAGAATTTCTATTTGTACCCGGTGGGTGTGGTACCCGGATATAAGAATAAAAAACAAAAATCGTTAATATCTCATAATTTTATTAAGAAAACCAATATAATGCTCTTAAGTAAAAATGTTCAGCGCCTAATTTTAAATGCACCTTTAATTCTAACCCTAACACTAACCCTAATAACTATATAGGATTAAATTTTTCTTATACCGGGTATCACACCCTAGGGTATTTTTAGAAATTTTGTAAAACAAAAATATACAATAATTATTTCAAAAATGAAGCTGCTAGTAGTAAATTACAATTTGGCGACCTCCTTTTATTTGTATCTTTTCTATATCATGAGCTATTGGCTTTTGAAATTATTATAGCCTTTAAGTGTCATGCACTATATTATAAATTTTTTTAATACATCCTCTAAATTGTATCTCTCATTACTTAATTTAAATCAAAAGTAAAGCAAATACAGTATATCGCGTCTAAAATAACCTTCTACCTAAAGTTGCTACTCTAAATAAAGTATCTAAGGTAGCAATATCCGAAATTACTATTTTAAATATTTAAGGTCGTAGTTTTAGATAAATAGCTACTTTAAATACTTCAGATACGATATATATATGTCATGACTTGCTTTAACAAATAATAATATATATATCATACTTAATAATAAAACACAAGTTACTTATATGACATGTTTAAATAATGCTGGCCAAAAATATTATGAATTTATTTAAAAAAAAAATTTTAGCTATTTAAAATTTTTAATTTTAATTTATAAGTTACTATACTATAACTAATTCTTATCGCATGAGTCAAGATTCTAAAATACTTGTTTTTAATAATTCTCTAAGAGCCATTGTTGCATATTGACTAGTTGATAAAGAAATGTGAATTCTTAGTGCTAATAATTTACCATCTTCATGGTTACAGAATATATAATGTATTTATTAATAATTCGAAAGTTTTTGTATAAATTAATAATGTGAAATATTCAAATAAATACCTGCAACATTTTCAGATTCCGTTTTTCCGTTAATAATATCTAGATCATTTAATGATAAAGGTATATTTGGATCATTGTATCTGAGAGTTTTCCTTAAAAATATTGAAAATAGTAATTTAAAATGGGAAGCTTTATAAATGCAAATACAATATATTTAAGTAAAAAAAAAAAGAACCAAACCAGGACACGTCAATGGGCTTTCCCATTATTCTGCGATAAGTTCCAGATAATGAAAAATCTCTAAAAATTACATAGATATAAATAACTAGTTTCAAAAGTAAATGATTTGAAATAAAAAAATAGCATTATTTTACTTTATGCTTCTTTTCATTTCACGGGGATCCAAATGATCCTTCCACATTAATTCTTTATATTTTTCAAATATATTATTATTTGGGTATACAACTAAATGTCCAGGTAAGGGCAATACAACATCATAAATTGTGTAATTTGGTACATCTTCTTCTTTTAAGATTTTTACTTTAATCTCCTGTAATGATTTATGGGTATGTTTGTAATACACGTAAGGAAACGCGGAAGTCTTTTGAAAACCAAAGACCAGGCTTACCTTTTTATCCTCAGAATTAATTATGACGTCACTGTCAACAATATCATCCTCTAATTCTTCATCAAGAATGACCAAATCTCCAATTGCTGGTCTTTCGCAACCAAAGATACGCAATCTCTCTGATACCATTTTATTCCAGACATACGATTGATATGCATGCACATACATAAGGCGAAGATTTCTTGGCATCTAATATACAAGATGTAATCTTATTAAATCGATAGTGTAATAATGTATAGTGGATAATTAATATTTCGTATGACCTACAGTAACGAGTGCACCTGCACAATCTTTATTATGACCAGCTTTTACGAACGAAGAAAGAATATGACATTCAGCAACACATCTTTTTGGAAATAATTCCAATGCTTTTTTAGCATCATGATTTTCTGCCCAATGTTGTCTAGCTTGTTGCTGATCTTTACTATCTATAAAATAATAAATGCAATATCTAATTATCAAAAAAAAAATAAAATAAATAAAAATGTATTGAATTGTAATTATAATATACCTCCAGCCCGCGGGTTTAATATCAAGTCAACGGCATGTTCCCAATTATTCTGTAATAAGGCGCGACCGATTTCGTAAGTTGAAACCGAAGAAGTTCCAAATCGTTGCATCCCTAATAAATGGTAAAGTGTTAGAAATTTTTTTGTAAATAATAACCTCCTTTAGTAATACCTTACCAAAATAATTTATGAATCCACGTTCTTTTAGAACATTCATGGCCTTGTCGATGATCTCTTCAGATTCAACCTGTACATTTCTATAATTTGAATATATGAATATTATATCCGTCTAATGAATTGACTACTTATGCTGAATTTTGAGTCTCTATTTTAAATGCATAATATTATAATTCACTTACACACTTTAATTAACGATTATAATCTCAAATTCTTAAGAAAAAAAAAAAAAACTCAAAAAATTCACTTCCCAAAATTTAAAATTTATATTAAAATAAGTCCAAATATCAGCATCTGCCAATTCAGCATAAGCAGCCACATGAATTAAAATTTTAATCTGTAACCCTCACCTTAGTGTAATGACAAAATGATTACCTTTTAGGTCACCAAGTTTTAATCCTTCCTTAACATACCTAAAAATATAAATAAGATTCATTATTTGTAATATGGAATTACTTTTGGAGATCTATCTTATAAATATTTTCTTACTCAAAATTTCCTAACTTCATATCGTGAAGGCGAGCGTTTAATCCTAAAAGTCTTTCGGCCTTGATCATAGAGGCAGTGACCTTTTGCACCGTAATAGCGCGACGATCTTTTGTTCCTGCATACGAAAATACACGAGAATGAACTCTGCAATTTAAGAGACAAAAAATATAAGTAATCACCTTTAATATGAATAAAAGAAAATAAATTATAAAATATTTTAAAATATGAGAAAAAGCTTTACTTCATTCTCTTGCATAATAAGTTAATCGCTTCCATAGTATCGCGGTTCTCCTTATATAGGACAAAACGGCAAAAGGGACCACCTAGCGCCTCCCATTGGTCAAGTTCATGTTTTTTGTTTCTACGGTCTACAAATGATGAAATAAATACCAATTCAAGATTACTCTAATAAGAAATATTATTGTACAGATATGTTACTACCATAACGAATTTTTTGATCAATTTGTTATAATTTTCTTTTAATAATTAATGCTAAAGAATTCTACTTATGAATTTAAATAATACTACTTAAAGAAGAACCCAAATTCGATTTATAATGTTTAGCTAGCGCCACATTACTTATTTTAATATGATCAAATACTTATGATAGTAACAACTACCGATCGATAAAAAAACAGATACGATAGTACGAATGTGCATCAGTAATCATGACCAGAAAACACTATACCATCATACCGATACTTTTTTTTACCTACTATACGATAGCTTATAATTATATATATATATACCATTTCGAGTCTTTGAAGTATGCATGCTTATTCTAATAGCACCCTCTTTAGTTTCGGTATTTAATTTATCACCGAAATGTTTCTTGAAAAATTGATGAATTATTGTTCGTTTATCTTTGTCTTTTTCCGGCTTTAAGGTTAATTGGACAATAAGTTAAACACACAGATAGCCAAGTTATTATTTTTTTATGAAAGATATTTGTTAAAAATATTTATATCTACTTTCGTATCAACAAATGGGGGATCTCGTTCTTCTGTATTCAATAATGTTTTAACCTTCTCGGTAATTTCATCATCAAGTAATGATTTCATTTCAAGAAATATTTGGTCAGTTGGAATAACCTTTAAAATATGTTTTGCTGTTCAATTATAAAAATATAAACCGATAATAATGAGGATTAAAGAACCTAATAAACACCATAATACCGTTATGTCATTGTTAGATGTCTTAAGAGATTGTTTATCAGCATTGGTGTCCTTTGGTATATCAGTATTAGTAATGTGTACAATATTTCCATCTTGATCAATTTCATAAACTAAGAAATCTGAATATCTAAATGTTAAAATTAGTTATTATTATCTCAAATTGAAAAATTATCAAAGCATTAATTAATTATACCGCTGCTTAATAATTGCTGAAAATCCAGGAATGGATGGATCAACATATTCAGTCAAACCCACATCCTGCTCATTAATCTTCCAGTTTGAGATCACTTGTTCATTTAATTCCACATTTTCATTAGAATCTATTTGTTCATCTTTATCAATCGTTACTTTATCTATTTGCCCAGCATCTTTCGATGCTACATTGACAGCCTTTCCGGAATTTAAACGAATTTTTTTCCAAGATTGTGATTCAGGCAAAGACATGAGATTGAATTTTTTTATTGATCGACATAAAGTTAGAAAACGCATTTTTATACTATGCTATATATATATCTATTATTTTTAGGTCGGGGCACGATCTACATTGATAGACCAATCAAATTATGAACTTTTACTGTGTAATGCTAATATTGCCACCAAAAATCATTTAGGTAATACACCCACAAAAATTGTTCCACCCCTGCAAAAAATTAAGGTTACTGCAGTAAAATTTCACGAAGAACGTTTTTAATTATTCACAGAAGATGGTTTTTTAATTAGAATTTCGAGTTATTTTTTTGTATGATGATAAAGTGGGGTTCGCTTCGATTTTCTACGTTACACCTGATCTTAAAATTTGATTGGTCAAAATTATGGGAGGTTACCAAAATGACGTGTTTTTGATTTACAGCAATATGAACTATGAACGCGTAAAAAAAAAGATATAAGGTTCACTTTTTTCTTGCTAAACTTTATTAAATCTATTTTTCACTTACCTAATATTTGTAACTTTTTATTACGTTTGCTTTCTTTTTTTTTCAAGCTTACAAACAAAAATTTATTTTTCTTGAAGTCGTTGATTTTGATTAAGATAAGTATTTTGTTCTGTACACACTTGTGTTCAGTTGCTATGCCTATTTTAACTTTGTTCGTTTGAAAGTTTCTTTCATAGGTAAGTAGTTTGTAGGCATTGACTGGCCCACGGCTGGAAAACTATGTCACCCTCCTTACCTGGGAAAGGCCCCTTACCCTCAAGAGTTTGAGTTTGTTTTTTGTTTTGTTACTAACTTTTACTTTATAGTAGGCTCAAATTTCTCGAGGGTATTTTTTGCTTTCACAAACCCAGGTTGTGAAAGCTCGGTATAGTTTGCAATCTTTTATAGTTTTTGGGTCACTTTTGGTATCGACGTCCTCGTCGTGTGGCCTGGGTATTGTTTAGTTAACTCTAAATAATAGCTAACAGATACCGAAATACGTTTTGTTGTGCATTGCTATATTAATTGCTTTTTTTTTGATAATAGTATTGTACCGTCGTCGTTAGAGCTATCATTAGGTATAATTTTAATCTAGCTGTTGGAGTCGCTGCTAGTATGGTTTTGGATTTTGGGGTGATCTTATCGTTTATTGGTATGCAAAGTTTTGTTATATTTATTGCAAAGTTTTTATTTGTTATGCAACAATATTTTATTACATTTACTAAATTTTTTTTTAGGTGTGTACTTTGTTAAGTTTTAGTGGTATTTTTGTTTTGGATGCATCTATTCGCACACATTACTTCGTGGGTGTGGTATCCTCAGTGTTTTTAATACAATAATATGTCGGCTTTGATGGCTTTTTTAATCACTTCAATAGGTCTCGGTATATTTCTAGATGGGTTTTTTGTCGTTTTATTAGTGCACGAAATTTTCAACCCTACATTTTATTAAATTTATATGTACGATATTTTTACATGTGTTATGCAGTAATAAATAATTAGCAAAGAGTTCACTTATTATTGTTCGATCAATGAAATTTTGTCAAATTGTATTATGTAAAAACACTTAGGTTTTGCTAATACATAGTAACTATCTCATAATATTCATATACTGAATTCATACAATATTTTTCTACTTCTCGCCTATACGATAATTAATGCAAATAAACAAGTTTAGAATATTGATAAGGGAATGTTAGATATGGCAAATGAAAATTTTGTGTAAAATCTTACGATACTATTCAATTAACGATTCTTCCTATAGTGTTATGCCAACAGCACTAAATAAGGCTTCCGTATTGTTATGCAACCTTGGAGTCTTTCAGTTAGGAATTATATAATCATTTTATATACGAATACATTAAATTTAAATCTTATTATATCTAAATCATAATCAAACCATTGAAAATGGTTCCCATGTTTCATAAAAATAGTAGCATGGTTTCAAATTAACGCCATGCACCCTCACGTTAGGGTTTCAACAAATAATTAGATATCAAGATTTTATCTTTGTCTCGAAATAACGCGTAATTATTGCACAAGTGAGCGTTATGCGCGAGAATACGGTTCTATTCCATCATTGACAATAATAAAAAGAATTTTTTAAATATTCGTAAAATAACCGTTTATATAAAGGGTATATTTATTGACAAAAAGTATAAAAGTATACACCGAACCAGCGGTGGTACCCCAACCCACCGTGA